GAGTCTTCTGTGTCTTGTCCGTCTAAGGGGGGGCGCCCTGCCCCCGGGCGCGCGGCAAGGGGGGGCCCGCCCCCGGGCGCGCAAGTGTCCCCGCCCCCTGACGCCCGGCGGGCAAACGGCCACACCCCCTGGTGCCCGACAACCTAAAAAGGTTGGGGACCACTGGCCTAGGGTGTTGACCAGGACCTCAGTAGACATGCTCAGAGACTGTTAACCAGAATGGTTCCCATTCAAAAATCGAACCATAGGAGGAGGTACTGCTCATCTGAATATTTAGCCTAGTGATGTGTATTGGACCAGCTCTGGCAAAAAGGAGGGACTTGAACTAGGATGTCCAACAGCCTATGCAAGTGGTCTAACTACTAGACTAAAAGTTAAAATGGGAAATGCATGTGTACACCCTCTCCAGCTATTATATGCAAAGTAAAGCAAGCAATTTATTTCAACCAACAGATTCTCATTTGAGGATTGCTAAGCAGATTCTTCTCCTGCAGCCTGGAATTAATGCCCTTCCCAGAGAGGAGCACACCCCCTCTCTGTTCAGCATCTCTCATTACCTAACTTAGGGGCTACGTCTACACTGGCCCCTTTTCCGGAAGGGGCATGTAAATTTCATGAGTCGTAGTAGGGAAATGCGCGGGGGATTTAAATATCCCCCGCGGCATTTAAATAAAAATACTTTGAAATAGGAATAAGACCCTCCGGAAAAGGGCACTTTTTCCGGAGGATCGGGGCCAGTGTAGACGCTCTTTTCCGGCTTTTTTAAAAGCCGGAAAAAAGCGGCGGACATTTTTATTTAAATGCCGCGGGGGATATTTAAATCCCCCACGCATTTCCCTACTACGACTCATGAAATTTACATGCCCCTTCCGGAAAAGGGGCCAATGTAGACGAGCCCTATATGTTTAATGTCATGTATTTAGCACAGTACTTGTGTATCTTCTGTTAGCAATTATGTTTTTTGTTTTATATTTAAATTTCCCGTAGGAAGTGTTATCATAAAAAAGGTTCCTCAGTGGAATAGCTTTTGTGGATCTTGTTTTTAGGTGTCTGTGCACTCATTGTTGCTGGAACTAGAGGGGCAGAGGTGCTACAGCACCCTTTGGCTTTAAGAGGTTTCCATTACATGCAGGGTTTACTGTTTAGCTCAATGGTTCTCAACAATGCCATTATACAAATTGTTCCAGCCCTCCCTGTGTACCTAAAGCAAGAGTGAGGAACCTGTTTTGCATCAGGGGTCACTGACTCCCAGGCAAGTAGATTTTGTGTGCTCCAGCCCCATGGTGGGATATTGGGGGTAGAGGGAGAGTTGGAGTGTCAGCACAGGCTACCCACTGATGGGATGGGGCAAGCCTCAGGGGCTGGATCCACACCCCGATGTAGTCAGGTTTGTGGATAGCAGTATTAGTCATGTATTTTTTTTCTAAGTGCCTAATAGGCACCATGATGCTCAGTATTGCAACCCCTAAATCTCTTTGTGAAAACCCATCCAGAATGAATTAGGAATAAAATCCAGCAGTCTTCTTTCTCAGAGCTTTGTTTTCAACAAATATAGTAATAAGTACCCTAATAAGTAAGTAACAGCAATACAAAATTTCTACAAAACTCATTAACTTGTATATCACTCTACAAGCCATCTTCCAAGCTTCTGTCCTTTCACTCTACCTGTATGGTTTGTTTTTCAGTGGGAGACATTTATTACAATGTAAATTTAGAGTATGAACCCTTCTCTGTAGGGATCCATGCCTTCTCTATGTTCTGCACTGTGCCTAATGCTCTTTTGGATGCTGTAAAATAATAAACAGACTTTAAAATCAGAATCACAGTGGGAGTTTCCTTATAATAAATTACTCATTTTTGTTGCCACTGTCTAAAGTAAAAAATACTACACACGGTAAGAACTACACCCAACCTCACAATTAAAAAGGAACAGTCTTCATCTCAGACTTCAAAGATTGTGCAGCTGAACCATGGAAATTGTTGATGGGATGGCCTAGAATATCAGTCCTGCATCTTTGATAGAAAGCCTTGCTCTGTGCTCACAAGGGTGCACTGTTATAATGTCTAACCCCCTCTTAATTGCAGTTATAGTACAGGAAGGTAGAGTGACTCATCCCATATCATTTAAAGCAGGGGTAGGGAACCTAAGGCCCAAGGGCCACATGTGCCACTTCTTTCTCCTACCCTTTCTCCCCCCCCCTTACCTGGATATAGCCCCCCAGGCTTGGGGCTTCTCCCCAACAGTGGGGAGCGCATGCTGGTGCTGCAGCATCCCCATCATTCCCAATATAACTGCAGCACACAAAATCTACTAGCCTGAGACCCTGAAGGTGCTGGGGGAATGTGGAGAATGTCTTTCTCCTCAGTCAAAGGCCACCTCAGTGAGGGATGGGATTTTTTTGGGGGGGGCACGGAGTGCACTTCTCACTTGTGTGCAGCTCCCAACTGATTTTTCTCTGGGTCAGTGGCCTTGGACAGAAAAAAAAGATTCCCCGTCCCAATTTAAAGCAAGTTCCCCTCTAATAGCCTGAAAAAGTCACGGCACATAAGGATCGCTATTTGAAGCAAATGCTTATTACAGCAATCTGTCTAAGTAAATGATCAATTATTGGGGTGAGAACATCTGTGAGAAGTTTAAGTGTGTTAATGAGGGGAGTGTAGTCTGTGATCATAAACATGGAATATCTGTTAATTCATAATGAAAATGACTCCCACATTACTCACATGATCAATCATATCTGTAGCACAAGTCCCCATCAATAAATGGGTGAGTTTTGGAACAATCAGCCTCCTACTGATAGGGAGTGTTTCTCTTGTACACCCCCCCCCCTCCCCCAAACCATAAATGCAATTGAAATTGACAGAATCTCCCTGATTAGATCATAGTGGCGCAGTGTAACAACTCAAGTCATGCTATAGAAATACACACTGAGCACTAAGGGTGATATGCCAATTCCTTAGAAAACTTTGGTTCTGATGGCTAGTTACTCATTAATACCAACTGACATCTATTGGAAAGGATTAGAGCCACGCCAATGCAATGTTATACATTGTGCAATTATTCTAGTAAGATATTATATTTAAAAATTATGAGCTCTGTGTACTAATATTGACATTGACTTCATGAAGTCAATCAGACTTTGCACTTACACTCTGATTATCTTAAAGTGCTCTGTATAAATAAAGTACCATGAAACATACTCAAGTAATCTGGCCAAGGTTGCACTCAGCAACAGAACTGAAAACAGAATGAAGGGTCTCCTGCCTCTGTCCTTCATTATAAATATTAGATTATACAGCTTTTCACTGATTGAGACAGGTTGCACCCATAATGAGTGTATTGGTTTATAGAATTCTTTAGAAGCTATATTATACTAAGTGGAATGGGTGCCAGATAAAAAGGTTCCCAAAAACCTAGCCTGAATTTACTGTTATATCTGTGTGAAGAAGTTCAGCCCATAAATCCAGATGATAACATTCTCTTAAAATTGGGTAGTGTACCAATTTCACAACTTACAAAAGAAATAATTCAATAAATACAAAGAGTCAGAGAACAATTCACTAGCTGCAGGCAACACAGAAGTGGGTTTTACACTCAATCATCTAATGTCATTTAAAAAATTGTCATAAGATTAAAGGTCTCCTATTTTCAAAATAAATGTTTGTTTTACTTCAGCATGTTTTGTGTTATAAAAGCCTCCGCATTTTACATAGCAACAATAGACTATGACTATATGAGAATATTCTGTCCTATTGATTTCAGCATCCCAGTTTTGTGACGCTGTTCAGCTGTTACAAAATTAGGGCTCTACTTTACAGAAATACTTCCTTTCCCCACCTTTTATTCTTAACACTTTTTGTTCTTGTCTTTATGTAAGACAGAAAATCTAGGGACTTAAGTGCATTAAGCACAGCAAGGAGGACAAAAGCAGCTCCTAATGAAGATGATGTAGCTATACACCAAAAGGTTTTCAAGTTGGCCATCATGAAAATTTAATTTAGTGATTTTTCTGCATATGAAAAAAGTGGTATAGTGTCTGTACAAATAAGTGTAGGGTGCATAGTGTTACATGCAAACACCAAGAATATTGTTGTACATATA